TATAACGGGGACACTTACATTAAGTTACCAAACCATAAACGTCCTATGTGCCGCGATTAAGGAGTCGGCACATCCACCATCTTCAGGAAGTTATCCAGTCTCGAGAATCGGACGAACTGGCAATCCAATCGCTTTCCTCCACATATGTCAGCTTTCTTACGACATTTTTAAAATCATTATTGTAATTTACTTGCTTGACTTCTACCGGCTTAAATTAATATGCCGAGACGCAACTTTTACGGGGGGAGTTCAATCCCAGGCTCATAACTAGCATAAAGATGGCGATGAGAGGACTGGCCTCGCGAGCCTAACGAATTGAGACGCCAATCCTCTCATTCGTTCATTCGCTGAAAAGTGTACATTAAGATACAGAGGCCCTACTATCTTTCTCTTCTACAGTGAGTTCGATCTAATCCTCTGCCCGTGCGAATCGGTGAACGTCTCAAGGGGATAAAATCGGCATGGGCTCTAAACATTCTCCACATCTGTTTCGTCTTGTTTCTGGGCTATTGCTTGAAAGACTTGGTGATGATTGTGATTGGTCAGAAAAGCTACCTTCCGTAGTTCTGGTATTAATTCATTTTCAGAAGAGTGGTTCGTAATTTAACAAGCCAATGGAGAGAAAGAAGGGTGGATAAAAAAGAGACAAGTCAGGCTAACACGCGATTGACGCTGAACTATTATTAAGGGGCGGCAATGTTTAAAGGGAAAAAGTCAGTAGGAAGAAATTTTCGGCAGAGTAAATAGTTACGGTTGACGCGTTAGACAGCTCATATAAACAAAAACGACTGCATAATCAATAGCTACTGGTACAGAACTTAGTCCTAGACTAATTTATACACAGAAGTGGACGTTCTACTATTTGAGAGGGCCTTTAGTTGCCTTTTTAAGCCAAACTCGGGAAAACGGCTATACTTTTCCAATACTTATTCAATCTTTTTTTATTAATTTAAGAATATATATGCTAGAAAGAAGACATAAACATTACAAATCTAAGATGTGCCTTGTTGGAAGTTACGCCTTATGCAAAAGTGCCATCAGGATATTGTGAATACCAGATTTTTTGAGACCATCACAAAGCCCCTGATGTTGTTTACAAAATACGCAATATGACCTACACCAATGGCAGTCTGTATCGAAAGACCCCTTTATAGGAGCAAGAAGGAATAAGTAAACTCGCTGCCGACAAACGCTGAATTTGGAGAATAGGCGGTTAGATTGCGTAGAAGGTTACTTTTTCAGAGACTGCGTCGATTTTATATATATGTGGTCAATTCTAATACTAATAATAAGAAACTGTTCTTATTTATTAGACAATTCGAATCA